TGAGGCTGCCACCACCTGCGTTTCCAGTGCTTGTACTGGTGAATGGTCAGCTCCAAAAACAGGATCATTCGCAACGCCATGGCGTTGTACAGTACATTTGCTTTTGTGACATGAAGGCAATCTAGATATCTTCCTACCTTAACGCAAACAGCGCCTCCAGAGAATGCTGCATTGTGCGCAAGTGTGGAATTGCCTATACCTGCATTCGACTCGCCCTGTTGAATGCGCACAAACAAAATCAACAATACATTAATAGCGAAAAAGTTTGCCAACATCTCACGTATCAGTTTTCAACGCCCATTAGTAGATTGGAGTTTGGCCCTCCTGATGTCGTCGCAATGCAATGCGCAAAACAAACGCACACAACCAAATGCGGGTCACTGCATCTCCGCACTGAAGATTTGTACAGTGCTTATGAGAAACGTGAGTGACAAGAGAACTGTCGCGCTTCGTTTGCCTGCAAACTCGCTGGACTTTTGTGGCACAACGGAACGCGATCAGACTAACTGAATAGCCTTTTCCCCCTCAGAGTATTTGATCTTGACTTCTAAACTCTATTGCTGCCGTGAGGGCAATATCAATAAGCTCCTTGATCCCACCAATGTCAACGAAGGAAACGACTTTCAACGCGTTGATAAAATGGAATATCAAGAAATAGGTTTGAGACAGGGATGGCGAAATTGATCGAGCACGCTAAAGAATTGGAGGCAAAATGATGTAATTTTTAAGGTGAGGCAGTGTCGCTCAAAGAGAATAGGTGCTCTGGGCTGCGAAAGATGGGAGCAGCCATCGTGGAGGCTGAGACTTCACTGTGGATCTCCAGCCAAGCAGTGTACCAACACTTGAACTAGACATTATTTGAGGAGGCATGGCTTGAGGAAGTGTCCGATGCAATCTCGAATTGGAACATTGGACAGAGTTGAGTATCTAAATTAAATCAGTCAACTCCCTGCACTGGGATTTTCTTTACTCGTTTCCAAGCCTGTGCACTACAGATCAAGGAGACCAGAGATTTAAGGGCCATTGATGCTGGGACGATGGCCCACGACGATCATGATGTAGTCACAGATCAACTTGCAGGGCGCGCTCTGTTCCACACAATGGATGCTGCCTTTGGTGCAAAGGTATTGTGCTTCTGTGCTCAATGCCAGGAGCGTCTCAGAAAGGCTGAGGATATCCACTGGGCACGAAGCGTGAGTGCACACGCTTTGGAGCAGACAAAGACAATTTCCAACGACCTGTAGGAGGGCGTGCTTGATTTGTTTTCAGAATTGGTGGCCGTGAGCTCGTGAGTAAATCATCCTGATTCTTATTTCATTTGGAAAGCAGAATTGGAAGCCACGCTTGCAATGTTGCTCACCTTGTAAACGTATGGCAAGTGAATCGGGGCATAGGGGGCAACACCGCACAGGACACAAAATACAGCAATGGAAAGGGAGCGACCATTGACTGGCAGACAGGTTAACCCGAGAGCCAGTCCAGCAATTGCCACGCTGAGAAAGCTGACGGCTCTTGTGTGCCATGGGCGCTATTGTGTAGGTACATGTTCAAAATTGCATTGTCTTGATCGTGTATTCAGGGGAAAAGGGGATCAAGCACGTGTGTTGTGCATTTGGTGCCATGTGATTGGACTTCAAAACAAGACAATTTTTATTTTTCACGACGACACACACAGCCTTGCACGTCAATTCAATGTTTATTTAATTTAAAACACAGCATCGCATCCAGCGACCCAAGACATCGAACAGACAAAGAGATGGAAATGAACACGGCACAGTGCAATCCTCTTCATATTGCATGCTGTGCTGATGGCAATGCACTCATAAGCACATAGATTGCTCCCCCACAATGTGTGTCAGTGTTGTTCTCATACATGCAGTTACTGGGCCACATGGATCAAGATATCTGTTACGGAAACAAAGCGAATGGCATCCATTTTGCAAATGAAATCTGTCAAACATATTGCGTATAACAACTAACATATAAGCGCACCAGAATGGCTTTCTGCTCTTTTCAGAATGTCTCAAATGACTTTGCCTCCAAAGCAGGATAATGTGCACACAGCCACAGAACTCTTTGGTGACAAAAGCCAGTATCGAAAACAAGAATATCCCGGTTGCAAAAAAAATTAGCATCCGAATCTGTAGTCCACAATTGAGGCTGTCGACTCTCGAGAGCACGTGTGCTTGCCATTCAGACGATGTTGCCTGTGGGATGACGTTCAACAGTGTGCACCAAGTTAAACCGGTTACACACGTCACGTGCCATGTGGTGCGTGGTAAATCTACTAATTTTTCACAAAGCAAATTGGCATATCGTTGACCTTTTCATCCCCGCGTATTGAATGTGCCCCATACCCACACAAAGCCATTTTCACGGCCTGAAAGGCAGTTAAGAACGGTCGACGATTCTTCAATTCGCACATTCCAGTAGCAAGTTTGAATGGACAGGCCTGCCACCGCCTGCATCAGCAGTGCGATGCTCTGGTGGATGGTCTACTCAGGGAAAACAGGATCTCAGGAATCTGGGGCCGTTGGATGATGCACTTGCTTTTGCGACCAAAACACGATCAAGACACCCTTCTACCTGAACATAAACGGCGCCTCCGTAGGATGCTGCATTGTGTGCAAGCGTGGAATTGTCTATAGTTGCACTCGACTCTTCCTGTTGCATGTGTGCCATCACAATCAGCAGCGCACAAATAGTGCAACGATTGTCAACATTCTCCTATATCCCACAAGCCCGTTTTCAACGCTCACAAGTGATTTGCATTTGTTCCTCCTGATGTCGCTGTAATGCAACGTGAATGGAGGCGACAGAAAATCCATAACGGTGCGTCTGCTTGTGAGACTTGCAGCGCTTTTGTGGCACAATGCAAGAGCGATCAAGTAAACCAAGCAGCCTCCCCCTCGCCCCAATGCATACACGTGGCAGTGTTGTTGACCGCGACTTTTCAACTCTATTGCTGCAATGAGGGCAATGCCAATGGACTTCCCAGTCACAATCCAATCAACGTGGAGGAAGAAAATGACCACCAACCCCATGACAAAATTGTCATTTGTCCACTTTAAAATGGAGTATGGGAAACGGCTCTGGGACGTGGACAATGAAGGTGATTATGTTGAGTGCATTGAAAGAATTGATACCAAATGTTGTATTTTCATCCGGGGTTATCCTGCGTCACTCATTGGGAACAAGGTATCTCAGACTGCAAGAACATGGGCAACCATCATGGAGTCTTAGACTTGGCTGTGGACGCCCACCCATGCCTTGCACAAAAATTTGGATTTGGGCATTATTTTAGGAAGCGAGGCTGGGCAAGGGTCCAAGGAAATATCGAACGAAACGTTCCACAGAATTCAGCATCGAAATTAAATCATCCTGCGTCTTTTACTGGACTCTTCTCTACTTGTTTCATGTCTGTGAAATACACACCAGGGAGTCCATAGATTCAGGGTCAATGATGCTGGAAAGATAGTCCCTAGCGATTGAGATGCAGTCACAGACAAGCTTGCAGGGCGAGCACTGTTCAACATGATGGATGCTGCCTTTGCTGTAAAGGTTTGCCTTCCTGTTTGCAGCAACAGGAACATCGCAAGAGAGGGAGGATCTGCAGTTGACATGAAATGCGAGTGCACACACTTCAAAACAACAAAGGAAAGTTCCAAGTCTTTTTAGGTGGCGGTGATTGACTCTTCCTCAGAACTGGTAATCGCAAGCTCGCGAACCAGTCTTTTCGATTCCGATATCGTTTATCACTCAGAAGCCACGTTTGCAACGACCTCTGCCTTGTTAACAAATGGCAGATGATTTTTGGCATAGGAAGCAAGACGGCATAGGACACAACATAACGCAATGGAGGAGGAGTGAGCTTTGAAGAATGCCAGAGAGCCTAACATGAGGGTCAATTCGACGATTGATACACTGAGAAAGCTGCCGGCTCTTGTGTGTCATCAACACTGCCGTGGATACATATGTCCAGAATCGCATTGTTCTTAATCGCGGATTCAATTGAAAAGGGAATAACGAGCACGCGTTGTTCACTCGGTGCCATTGGACGGACCTCCAAAACGAGGAAGGACAGCTGTATTCTCCTTGACATGCACAGGCTGGCCCTTCAATCCAATGTTCACCACCGGCACTGGCACACCCATCTTGCAATCCAAACAAGCGAATAACCGAAGGAGATGAAATTAAGCATGACGAAGATACAATCCTTTTCAGACATACTGATGGCGATGCACTCACTTTCACATAGATAGCTCCCCCACTGTCAATGGCAGTGTTGCACTCGTAGATGCAGGCATTGGACCATAGGGACGAAGACTTCTGTTTCAAAACCAAAAAAGAGTAATTGTGCACATGGAATCAGCCAAACAAATCAAGCGTGCAAAACTGGCTTCCTGGTATGGTAAAATACCTCCAAACTTCCCCCAGACTTGCCCCCAAACTGGGTAAGTGTAGAAGAATATCTGCAATGGCAAAGGCCAGCATCAAAAACACGAGCATACTGGCTATACATAAATTAAGCCTCCGAGTTTGCTATCCGCGACCCTAGGTTATCGATACTCAACAACGCAGCTGCTTGCATTCGGATGGTATTTCCTGTGGAATGAAACTCTAGCATGCGCACCAGGTTGAGTTTGCTGCACAAGTCGCATACCGCATGGCGCATTCTGAATCTGCCAATTCGTTACAAGCAAATTTGGCACATCGTTTACCTCTTCATGCCCGTGCACTGGATGGGCCCCATGCCTGCACCAAGCGATTTGCATCTGCCCAGAAGGCAGTTGATGGCGGTCGGAGGCCTGTCTGCGATGGTGCTTCAATTCCCATCAAATGATAGTGAGTTTGAATGGACAAGCCTACAACCACCTGCATTAGCAGTGCAATGCTATGATGGATGGTCAACTCCAGGAGAATAGGGTCATTCGGAATCTGGCAGCTTTGAATGCTACATTCGCTTTTATGACGAAAAGGCGATGCAGAAACCTTCCTACCCAAACATGAACGGCGCCTCCATAGGTAGCTGCGTTGTGTAGTGCAAGAACGGAACTGCCCACAGTTGCGTTCGACTTGTCCTGTCCAATGCGCACACAGACAACCATTACCAATAAACAGTGAAACAATTGCCAACGTTTTCTCACACCTTGCTGGCCAATTTTCAATGCCCGCGAGTGGATCAGCTTTTGTTCCTCCTGGCGTTGTTGCGATGTAATTGCAAACAAAATGCACAAGGTGCGGGTCACTGTGTCTTAGGCTCCCCCACCCCCCCACCCACGCCCACCACCACACGCGCACAAAGTCGATACTATCTTCAGAGCTCTACGACTGCCATAAATCAATGTCAATAGGCTTCATAATCCCATCAACGTGAAAAAGGAAGATGACCATCAACCTGATGACATGACGCACAATCAGCAAGCGGGGAAGGGGTGAACAAATGGTCGTGCTGAGTGCCTTGGAACATTTTGAGGGCAAATGCTGTATTTTGTGGGGCGAGGCTGTGTCGCTCAAAGCAAACAAGATATTCTAGCCTACAACAACATGGACAACCATTGCTGAGGCCGATATTTGTCTATGAGTCTTCCACCAAGCTGTGCACAGAAACTTGGATTCAGACATTTTTTGAGGAACCATGGCTTTGACAAGTGTCCAAGGTAATATTGAATTGAACCATTGGACAGAATGCAGGATCTCAACTAAATCATCACAAATCTTCCAATGGGCTTTTCTCTACTCGTTCCAAGTCGGCGGATTGTGCATCTAGGATTCCCCAAATTTAGGGGTCTTTGAGGGTGGAAGTATGACCCATAACGATTGAGATGCAATCGCAGAAGAACTTGCAAGGCAAGCACAGTTCCATGCAATGAATGCGTTCTTTGCTGCGATGGGTTTACTTTTCCGTGCACAGCAACAAGAGCATTTCAAAAGAGCGAGAGCGCACTGGCAACAAAAGCAAGTGCGCATGGTTTGGAACAAACAAGACAACTTCCAGGGCCCTGTATGCGCTTATGCTTTACTTGTTTTCATAATTGGTAATCACAAGCTCCTGGACCAAATTTTCCGATTCTGCTCCCGTTCAGAATTAAGAACCCACTTTTCCAACGACATTTACCTGGTCAACCCATACAAGTACTTTTGGCAGACGAACCAAGATCGTACAGGACGCAAATACTGCAGTGGGAGTGGAGCGACTTTTGCCAAATGCCAGGCAGACTGAGGCGAGAGGGAATCCAACCATTGCTACAATGAGAAAGCTGGCAGCTCTTGCATGCCATCGGCGCTCCTGTTCAGAATTGCATTGCCCTAATCTACTCAAGAGAAAAGGGAATCACGCGAGCGTGTTGTTCACCCAGTGTCATGAGATTGGATTTCACAAATCACTAGTCAAAAATCGACCAAAGTACACGATCGTGAAATTCGCGTACCGTGCTATTCATGCAAAAGTCGTGCAAAAATCGTGTATTGATCAAAAAACAGAGATGCCACTGGTACGTGGTTGAAGCTGTGTAATACTGTGTTCTTTATTGTCTTGTCCACGGTGGTAAGATGGGCCACTTTCGTCTACTACAGGGGGCTTAAAACTACAAGATTTTAGCAATCTTGCACAATTGTGTTCTAAGGTGCTAGATTCTGCCCGATTCTAACACCATTTCACACTATTGCACACTGTGTAAATTGATCAAAAGCTTGCTAGTGAATAAAGAGCATCTTTGTTCTCCATGAACACACAGCCTTGCATGCCTATCAAATGTTCACTGCAAACACAGACACACGTCTTGCAATGCAGACCAACGAATAAACTAAGGAGATGGAAATGAACACGACAAAGATGCAATCTTTTGCATACTGTAGCCCAAACTGCTGGAAATGCACTCACATACACATAGAATGCCCCGCCGCTGTCAGTGGCAGTGTTGTACTGGTAGATGCATGCATTGGACGACACAGACGAAGAACTCTGTTTCAAAAACAAAACGATTGACAGTTATTCTGCAAATGAATTCAGCCAAATAATCAAAACATACCAAACTGGCTTTCTGGTATCTTCAAAATGTCTCAAATGACCGCGCCTCAAAGCCAGAATAAGATATTGCCCAAACCCTGCAACGGGAAACGCCGATATCGAAAACAATATTACCATGGTTCTACAAGAAATCTAGCTTGCGAACTTGTCGTCCCCAACCGTAGGTTATCGATTATCTTGAACACATCTGTTTGCCATTTGGATGACGTTGCCTGTGGAATGAAGCTCATGCACACCAGTTTGAATTGGCTGCGCAGGTGACACGCCACATGGCGCATTGTAAATTGAACAATTTGTCCCAAAGAGGATTGGCGCATTGTCTACTTCTCCGTCTTCATGTATCTGACATGTCCCATAACTGCACTGGGCCAATTCCATCTGCCCGGAAAGCGATTGGGGGCAGCCTATGCCCTATCTGCGACAGTTCTTCGATCCCCAAAAAATGACAGCAAGTGTGAATGGACAAATCTACAACCGCCTGCATCGGTATTGCAATGCTCTGGAGGATGGTGTTCAGGAAAATAGGATCATTCGAAATGTGCTGGCGTTGAACGCCGTATTTGTGTTGCAGACGCAAAAGCGATTCAGACACATTCCGACCCAGGCAAGTACAGCGCTTCCAAAGAATGCCGCATGATGCAAAAGGGTGGAATTGCTCATGCCTGCAGTCAATACTGAAACGATTATCAACATCCTTCTGTATCTTGCTTGCCGGTTTCCAACACCCGTTAGTGAAGTGGCATTTATTTCTCTCGAAGTCTTTGTGATGCAATGTGGAAACAAGATATGCAAGAACATGCACACGTCACTACAATCTTCACACCAAAAGTTGACGCAGTGTTTATGAAGAAAGGATGTGACAGAAAATCCGTAATCATGGTGCGTTTGCTTGTGAAACTCCCTTGAATTTATGCCAAAATGCAAGATCAATCAAACGAACTGGAAAGCCTCTCCCCCCTGCCCACCCCAGCGTCTCTGTGTCTGAACTTGAATTCTATTAGTGCCACTGGGGCAATGACAATAGGCTCCCCAATTGCGCCAATGCAGAAGGGCAAAATGGCCCTCAACACAATGGAAAGACGAACGATTAGGATTGGGGCAGGGATGACAAAACTGATCGTGTTCTGCATGTTGAAAGAATCGGAAACTATCACTATGTATTTTCTGGGGTAGAACTGTGTCCCTCAAAGCAAACAAGGTATCCTAGGCTACAGAGAAACAGGCAGCTGTTGTAAGGGCTGATACTCAACTGTGGGTCTCCAACCATGCTGTGCACAAAAAACTTGCATTCAGGCATCAATGGAGAAAGTGTGGCTTTGGCAAGGATCCAAGGTAATGTTGAATTTGAAAAAACACAATCACCATTATTTACGTTAGAAATGGCTCGCTAGACAAAATTCAGGATAAAATCTAGATCATCCCATGTCTTGCACTGGGCACTTCTCTGCCTGTCCCAAGTCCATGGATTACACATCAACAAGTCCAGAGACTTAGAGGGCACTGATTCTGGAACAACGGCCCTTAACAATTGAGATGCAGTCATAGGTGAACTTCCAGGGTGAGCATTGTTCCGTGCAATGGATACTGTCTTTACTGCAAGGACTTTGTTTTCAGTTTGCAGCAACAGGAGAATCTCAAGACAGGGAGAATCTCCAGTGGGCTTGGAATTCGAATGCACATATTTTTGAACAGAAAAGGCAAATTTCAAGGCTCTGTGGTGCTGGTGCCTGACTTATTTTCAGATATGGTGATTTAAGCTCCTAGATCAATCCTTCTGACTCTGATCTCGTTTAACATTCAGAATCCATGTTTCCAATGACATTTGTTGCACAAATAGAGGGCAAGTGATTGGAGGCATAAGAAGCAAGACTGCACCAGACACAAAATACCACAAGAGAAGTGGAGCGGCCTCGACAAATGCCAGACAGCCCAACACGACAGTGAATCCAACAATTGCTACACTGAGAGAGTCGATGGCTCTTGTGCCATCGACACTATTGTATGCGTGCACGTTCAGAATTACATTGTGTTGATCACGCGCTGGAAGGAGAAGTGAGTTATATGCATATGTTGTGCACTCTCTGCCATGTGATTGGACTTCCAAAGAAAGACAGCTTTATTCTATGTAACGTAACACATACAGCCTCGCATGTCAATTCAGTGTTCGCAACAGACACAGCCACACATCTTGCAACCCTAAGCGACCAACAACTGAAGGATTTGGAAACGAGCATGGCAAAGATGCATGCTTTCCAGATTAGAGCCCATACTGATGGCAATGCACTCACAAACACATAGATCGCTCCCCCGGTATCTGTGGCAGTGTTGTTCTCATAGATGCAGCTATTGGACCACATGGACGAAGACACCTGTTACGGAAAGAAAAGAAACAAGAGTTATTCTGTGAATAAAAATCAGTCAAACATATTCAACACTGCAAAATGGCTTTCAGCTATGTTCAAATTGTCTCAAGCGACTTTGCATCAAAACAGGATAAAATGTACATGAAACTCTGCAGTGGCAAGGGCTAATGCCAAAAAGAAAAGTATCATGGTTTCAGAAAAGCTGAAATTTTGAATCTGTTTTCCGCAACCCTAACTGAACAATTCCGCTTGCCATGCTGATGGTATCGCCCATGAAATGAAGCTCGAGCTCACCCCCCAGATTGAATTGTTTGCACAAGTTACACGCGCACAAGTTACATGCGCACATGGCAAATTTGGGCAGTTTACTGTAAGGTAGATCGGCTCATCGTTTACCTCTTCATGCCCATGTGATGGATGTGGCCCATAACATTACCAAGCGGTTTTGCATCTGCTTGTAAGGCAATTAAATGCGGGCGGTGACTTATGTCTGGTAGTTTTTAAGTTCCCACCTACCAATAGAAAATGCGAACGACAGGTCTGCAACTTCCTGCATTAGCGGTGCGATGCTGTTGTAGATTATCTACTCAAAAAAAAGGAAAAGAGGATTGTTGGGAATTTGGCAGCGTTGAATACGACATTGCTTTTGTGACAGAGAAACGATCCAGAGGCCTTCCTACCCCGACATAAACAGAACCTCCATAGGCTGCTATGTTGTTTGCAAAAGTGGAACTGGTCACAGTTGCATTCGACTCGTCCTGACCAACATGAACATAGAAAATCAGTACCACATAATTAGCGAGACGGTTATCAACATTCTTCCATATCTCGCATGCCGGTTTTCAATGTTCATCAGTGGATTGGTGTTTGGTCCTGATGTCGTTGCAATGCAGTGTGCAAAACAAATGCACAAAACAAGTGTGGGCTACCATGCCTTATGTACTGAACATTGTCATAGTGCTTGTGAAGAACGGAGATGACAGAGAGTCCTTCATGCTGTATTTGCTTGAGGAGATTGCTGGAATTTTGTGGCACAATGCAAGAGTAAGCTCACACGCACACACGCACGCATGCATGCACACAGGTGCATATTTGAGCTGTATTGCGTTCACAAGGGCAATGTCAAGATTCCCAATCAGAGCAATGTGAAAGAAGGTAATGACCATCAACCCAATGACGTGACAGACGATTAGGAAATGGCTCTGGGACGGGGACAATGAAACTGATCACGTTAAGCTCATTGAAAATTTTTGAAGCCAAATGCTACATTTGCTTGGGAGGCTGTGCTGCTTAAAGCAAACAAGGTATCCAAAGTTACAGAACCATGGCCAACTACTGTAAAGACTAATGCTTTGTTGGGGATTTCCAACCAAGCCATGCACAAAAACAGAAACTTGGATTCAGGCACCATTTGAGGAAGTGCGGCTTTGGCAGGTGTCCAAGGCAACATTGTATTGGCATACTGGGCAAAATTTATGTTCAAAATTAGATCATCCCATGCTTACCACTGGGATCCTCTCTACACGTTCCAAGTCTGTGGATTACATGTCAATGAGCGCACAGATTTAGTAATTACTGATGCTGGAACAGTGGCCCAAAACGATGGATGTGTGGTTAGAAGTGAGCTTACAGGGTAAGCATTGCTCCACGCAATGGATGCTGTCTTGCTGCAACTGCTTTGCTTTCTGTGTTTAGTGACAGGAGCATTTCAAGAGAGTGGGGATCCCCAGTGGGCATGAAATGTGAGTGCACATATGTTCCGCAATTCATGAAAACAACCTCCAAGGCTCTGCAGGTGCTTGTGCTCGTCTTTTCCTGGAATTGGTAACTACAAGCTTGTGGACTAATGTTTCGATTCTGACCTCATCCAAAGTTCAGAAACTGCATTTCCAACAACGTTTGCCTTGTAAATGGATGGCAAGTGATGATTGGCATACAAGGCAAGACCAGCTGGAACTGGAGCAGCTTTTGACAAATGCCAGGCAGCCTAACATTAGAAGACACCCAACAATTGCAGCACGGAGAAAGCTGACAGCTCCGGTGTGGTATCGGCACTGTTGCATGCATACATCTTCAAAATTGCATTCTCTTAGTCCTGTACTCAAACGAAACCATGCATGTTGTTCATTCAGTGTCATGTGATTGGAATTACGAAATAAAGGACAGCTTATTCTCTGTGACACACACAGTCTTGTGTGCCAACTCAGCATTCACCACAAATGCAGCCACACATCTTGCAACCCATGCCAATTACTAACAAAAGTAGATAAAAGAGAACATGAAAAGGATACAGCCATTTTTAGATTGCAGTTTGTATCGATGATAATGCACTCACAAACGACATGATTGCTCCCCCGCTATGTGAGGCATTGTTGTACTCGTAGTTGCTGGCATTGGACCACATGGACGAAGACCTCTGTTAAAAAAACAAAAGAAATGGCTGTTAATCTGCAAATGAAAATCGATCAAACCAATCAAAGCCAGTATCAAACTTTCAAAATGTCTCCAATAACTTCCGCCCCTAGGGATAAAGTGTACGTAAAACTGTGCATTGGCAAAGGTCAATCCTGAAAACAAGTGTGTCGCAGTTCCACTATGAGACAAGCATCCGAATTTGTTGTCGGCAATCTTAGGTTACCAATTCCCAAGAACTCAGCTGCTCGCCATTCAGATGGTATTTCTTGTGGAGTGAAGCTCAAGGGTGCTCATCCGTTTGAATTGGTTGCGCAGGTCACATGCCACATGGCACATGAAAAATTCAACAATCCATTACAAAGAATTTTGCACATTGTCTACCTCTTCATCCCCGTGTACTGGATGTGTCCCATAACTGACCAGGCCATTTGCATGTGCTTGGAAGGCGATTCAGGGCAGCCCGTGCCTTATCTGTGACTACATAAACAAGTTTGGAGCCACCTGCACCAATAGTGCGATAGTCTGGGGGATGGTCTAATCAACGAAAAAATAGCATCATTGGCTACCAGGGAGCACTAAATGCTGCATTTACTTTAATGGCGGATAAGCAGTCCAGACACCTTGCTACCCAGACAAGAACAGTGTTTCCAAATATGCCGTTTTGCATGAAAGAGTGGAACTGCCTATGGTTGCAGTCGACTTCTTGTGTTGAATGCACACGTACAAAATCGATAGCACATCAATAGTGAAACGATCATCAACATTCTCTTGTATCTCACATTGCTGGTTTCAGTGCTTGTGAGTGGATTTCTGCCAGATTAAGCTCAAGTGATGGCAAAGAAAAGCAAAATCTCCCAAAAGATGACGTTAGCCATGCCAGGCAGCATTTCAAAAACAGTGCCTATCTCTGCTGTGAATCTCTAACTAAATTGTACACAATATTTGAATTCAGCCACTGCTTGAGGAAGCGTGGCTTGTGGAAGTTTCCATTGTTATCTCGGATCGAAATATTGGACAGACTTAAGGGTCCAAAATTAATCACCCGCCATCTTGCATTTTGCTTTTCTCAATTCGTGCCAAGCCCACGTGTTACATATCAAGGAGTCTAGATATCTGGGGTCATTGATGCTGTGATAACAGCCCACAGCGATCAAGTGGCAGTCATAGGCGAACTTGTAGGGCAAGCGCTGTGGTGCATGATGGACACTACTCTGTTGCAATGGTTTTGCTCTGTGCACACAGTAACAGGAACATATCAAGAGGGGAAGAATCTCCGCTGGGCATGAATGCAAGTGCACATAATTTGGAACAAATATGGGCGACTTCCAAGGCTCTGCAGGGTGTTATGATTGACAGAATGTAGAAGCCACATTTCTGATGACATTTGCCTTGCAAATGGATAGCAAGTGATTTTTGGCACAGCAAAAAAGACCACATAGGACGCAACAAATCCAAAACCACCACCACACGTCTTGTGATCCAAAGCAATGAATGACACCAAAAGAAATAGCAATGGCACAGTACTTGTCAAATTGCAGTCAATATTAGACACACACTGCGCCTCTGTAGTTGTGGGTACTGGATTGCACGGATGAAGATATAAATTTGACATAAAACAACACAAGTCAGTCCGGAAATGAGTGCTAGTGTAGTGTGAGTGAAATCTTGTGTGGCCACTTCACACTGCTTTGCTTCACTTCACGTTTTGCAAGAATTCACCAAACTGATCTGGTGGCATGGAACTCAATACTATCAGCTCAGGTGAACATCATTACTTATAATTTTTGTGAAACTGCGACACAGGCATATGTGCCTGGACTGAATCGGTTCTATAAATTATACCAAATTGTTCCTCCATTTAATGTTATTGTCTTCTCTGATTGCATATCTTTGCCTCTCCATCTTACCAACATCAAATTTCAGAAAGTTTCACCCAATGCTGTGGTTGCAAGATCAAAGCGTACTATCAAAATCTCAGGTTAATCTGCTCAGTATTGAGGAATTAGCAGTGCTTTGCAACAAGGCATGAAAGGATCATGAGCTAGAAGAATGGCTATCAAGGTAAAGTTGCATTTTTTCCAAGCAGCTTCGGCTCACTGGACTGCCAAAGCATGTGCGCAGTGCACAAGAATTGGCAACTAAGAGCTGTTTCCAAATTTCAAGTTGAGTTGCACAAAAAAGCATCGATCGCAGCATTAATTAAGGAGGACTGCCCAAGCAAAGCTACAAAACAACATAACAGAGATAGCCTCACTGAAGCCATTCTTCAATATCTTGGACGTTGGCCTTTTCCATCCAAGAAAGTCCATTCATTGGAGATTAAGCACATTGCCAATTTCAAACATCGTTGTTGCCATCGAAATGGCCACATTAGAGGAGAATACACACAAAGTCGAATGGGTCTGGCAAGAGCTGTGCCACTTGCTGGATGTCCCTCTTTCTTGTGGCAATGATAACAACAGGCATCGCTACTGCCAAGTACTGGAGCCGCCCAGAATTGGGGGTTTTCTGGGAATGCAGAATGTAATCGACTTTTGGGGTGCAACCCAGATCATTGTCAGGGCTGAATTCTGCTTTGAAAATTGGACACAACAGGCCTGAGATTCTATCTTCACAATCACGTTCTTCTTTTGAATTTTAGGTGCAATTCTGTAGTAAATTTTCTCTTCAAATAGACAACATTTAACTTTGGACACTCGGAATATAACAAGCAATACTCAGAACTTCTGCCAGTGTCAATGTGCTTTGATTATGCCCGAATTTTCATGCCTTGGATTTATTACACAACTTCAGTAAGTGTGCGTACATCTGGGAAAGATGAATGGCAGTTTGGGCCAGACCTTTAGCACTCTTCCCATTCCCATCTGGCAGCAAGCACAGATACTGAAATCTACAAGTACCTGCATTGGCAATGCGGTCTGTTGACAGATGGCATCCTAAATAAAGACAGACAATTTGGTGGTGTTGCTAAGTTTGCTTTCACAACAGAATGACAATCCACCCACTACCCTACTTCAAGATATGCATTTATCCACTTCCTATATGCCAAGCAGCAAATAAAGATGGATAATCTACAGCCACTTACTGTAGATCATGTACAATAGCCGATGATAGCCAGGGGCCTCCAGATAACACCCCCAGCATCACTCAGCATGGCCGGTGTTACAGAGCACAGGGTATATGCAAGATGGCATTGGGCATGGGTGGGGGGCGCAATACTCCATGATCTATTGCACATTTCCAGCAAATTACACTAGTGAATGGTTTCTTCAGAATATAACAATTTTAGGCATCACAGTATTCAATTTCACACTTGCTTTCACAACAAATTTTTAATCTAGGTACTGTCCTACCCTGATATGAATAGCACCTCCATAGCTGGCTTCATTGCGCATGAGCGTGGAATTGTTTATACGTGCAGTCGATCCATCCTGTCGGATGCACGAATGCAAAGTCAATGCAATCCACCAATAGTACAATGGCTCTGTACAATCCTTATCATTTTGTGCACATAGTTCAAAATTACGTTCATGTGCTTGGTAATTGGCCACCCTTAGTTCGTTGAAGTGTTATGTGCAATTGACAATCCACATAACAAGTAGGTCGAACATGTGAAATTCACCAATGAACAATCCATGTACACGTTGTTGCTGCATCAAATTCAACTCAATGTAGGCAACATACAAAAGTCAATGCCAGCATGGCTACCAATGTTTGTTAATTCGTTTCTTGCTTTCAATCGAGTTGGCAGGGTATTGACAAGCTTTTTGCACCCCATCTAACACTGGCTTATACAACCCTGTGCAACCATAACCCCTGTCTCTGCCACCACTAGTATCGCAGCATCTGCGCCGGTCCAGGCCTCAGGCTGCTGCCCTAATAGAGACACGTTTTGCCAACCAGTAGTGTGCAAGTCACAGCATTCTGTATTACAGAGGTTTGATGGTGCAGCCAGCCCCCTCTCCCGCCCCTGCCCCTCCCCAAGACTCCAAATGTACAGAAAAGAATTGCATGCGGGTGCAGTCCACATCAGTCAATGTGATTTTTAATGTGGTCCAACAAATCCTGTGAGAGTCAGGGTTGGTATTTATGTGCAAACACCTTTTCAATGCACAATTGTTTATAAAGTGTTTTATGTTTCCATGCATAAATAGCCATACAAATGCAAAAAATGCCTGGCATATTTAATACAGTACATACCAACTTAGGGAATCCAGGGAGCGGCAGCTAGATCTGCTGATACGTGCAGGAAAGGAACTTTTGTTTGATGATGTTGTTGTTCTTGCCCAGAGCAATGCAGACGCTATGTTGGCAGTGCTTGGGGGCATTGATTGGGACATCATCATTAAGTTATCTGGGGATCTCAACATGCTGTAAATTTGCATAAAATGGCAAAAAATGGGTGCTCATCTATTTATGTGCTTTCTGCATAAAACAGAAGCAAAAATAGTGTCGCTAATGTAAAGACGAACCCAGGTGACAGTCAACTGCCATCTGGTGCACGGGGCCTTGAGCAGCTGCCATACCTCAGAAGAGGATGCAACAGCGTTGTTGTGCCACTCCTCATGGTATGGATCAAAACGTTGAGAATTGGGTATCAGGCACACCTCTAGACCTAACCAATATGCTGCTTAGCAGAGATCTCCTGGGCAGGCACTGGTTCAGCCACCTGCCCCCTTCCCCAAACCATCAACACGTTTCTTCTACACCTTTGGAATAGGCCACACCTCAATGCATTCATGTCCGCAAAGGTGACGTATGACATGTGAAAGGTGCTTGGCAGCCCGATTTGGAGAAGCTTATCTTGTCATTCCTCAAAACCAAGGATCTGACTGCTGCATTCATTTTTGGTGTTCGTGCTTTCTTACAATTCTGAGATAGATTATGGATCATGCATCAAATGTGAGTATTGGATGTAAACGAGGTATTAGATTTGTTTCTTCAATATGCGCATATAATTAGATATGGTTGGAGAGCTACATTATCATA